AGGAAAGGGAGTAATAAGCAAACTATCTGGTTCAAATGCATTGCTTCAGAGCTGCCTGCTGTTTAAATCCCTGCAAAATTTCTTCTTCAGAAGTAACATTCATTCCACCACCTATATAACAACTGTCAGTCTCGCTTACCTCGACAGACAGAAGCTTTATCAGAACAGTGGTAAAAGAACAATCACTAAGGACTGGGTAAAAGTCTTTGAACATCTTATGCAGCACTAACACTGAGCTACATTATCTTCTATTTTATTTTCATACTTGACTGCCCCACTTGAATATGCATTTATGGATGTCCTTCCCTCAAGGCTCTTTAAAGTGGATCTCCATCATCCAATCCCCTCTCTGCAGTTACTTCAAATAAATGGTTAGTGTTTATTATTCTAGCAGAAAAAAAAAAAGGTAGCGCCTTACTCTGTAAATCCTTTCCACTTCAAGTAGTATTCCACCTTTCCATTTACAACACGTCTGTCCAGGACTTTCTCCACAACAAATTCTTCAGGCTCTGCCTCTTCAACTTTTTTACCTTTGCCATTCTGTTTCTTTCCCATTTTGTGCTACAAAAGAAATTCAGAATGACATTACTCATTCTTTTGCTTTGCACAGTTACTTCACCGGCCAAATCCAACTTTGCTCAGTAAACAGCAACGAATCATGTACTTATTAACACTAAAGCCAGAAGCTCAGACTCCTTTTACGTTAGTGCATGTGGTCAGGTAACCTGAGCAAGACATGTTAATGTTTTGGGTTTTTTCGGTTGCTTAATGAGATACCCAACACCAGTTTTTAAAAAGGTGACATTTTTTTTGTCTACATACTCAGTGACTCTACTCCCCTTATAAATTTATTTCTCAGTGCTACATGCTCAAAATATTCTGAAGCTTTTCAAAGTTAACTCTATGCCTGTGAAAAGGCAGAGGGCAAGGCAGAAGTAAAGAAAAACAATAAGGGAACTGTGAAAATGCATAAAATAGAAAAATGATGGTACTCAAAAAAAGGTGGTTACTACCTTTTCCAAAAAAACCAAGGAGAAACTCAATGGCAGCAAAGTTTATGATGTATTGCTATAATAAACAAACTACTCAACAATAACCCATAACTGCTGGACAGGATGCATGCTAGGAGCATTCCAGTACTGCAGTCCCTTCTCATCCTTAGCCACGCACCAATGTAACTTACATACAAAGAGATGTCACAGGGGTGCATAAATTTAAGACCGCTACACTTAAGTACAGCACTTAACACATAAATGAGATTTTGCTAACTTAGAAAAACTTTCAAGTTTACATTAGATAGTTCAAATAATATTCCTTAAGTTCCTAAAAGAAATATTACATCCACATCATCCTCAAGGCATTCCCAGTTTAATAAGGCACAATTAAATAGCAATAGAAGGACACATCTCAGAATTTCCTCATTTGTAATCTCAAAAAGGTTGGCACAAGCTATCATGATGTTGTATCACATTTCTGGAGCACCAGCAGACCAAAAGCAGTTTGCTTGCCATTTTGGACTGCATCTTATAAGGAAACTGTTAAAAGTGGCAGCCATAAACTAATGGGAGCAGTATTAAGCTCCCAAAACATATAGTCATGCAGCTCCCTAAATCAAAGTGGCCAGAACTAATCCCTCACTAAAGCACTTCCTACAGAACAGGTAACAGACAAGCAAAAATTCACGAAGCACCTCTATTGGCTTGATGGCCTTTCTCTAGTCCTCTCCAGGATTAATGTGGGCTAGTTTGAGAATACTGCAAAGCAATTTTAAAATCATCAAATTTTTAGACTTTGCAGAATTTTGTCTTGATGTGGTGAAAGATAAAACCAAAAAAAAGTATGTTAGACACAACAAAAACTGTCCTCTTTTTGCAAACTGAAGATTTGAAGATGATTCTCTTGCCAAAGCCCTGTCTTCGTACCCCTTATTTTTCATAATTGATTTTTCCCTTTCTCCCCAAAATAGCTTTACTCTGGTTAGCAACCCATAAATTGAAGGTGCAAACAAAGAGGAGAAAAAGTTTCTAGTCTCTCATTCAAACAGCAAGTTTCTGTACATGATTATATCTCCCGTGACAATTGTTTTGATTTGGAAGCATAGAAGAGAGATTATCTAGAACAGAGCATGTATTCCAATTAGATTTTAACTGCCTGCGTATCCCAGGTGTATTTTGACCACAGCATTCATGTCTGAAAAGTGTCAACTTAAGCACACTGGCTTTTTTTGCCTCCACGGGAAAAATAATGCAAGACTGAAATCAAAGGGAAGTAAAACATGAAGATGTCCAACGCTTCTATGAGGGCAGCTTCTTTCAAGAAATGGAAGTGTGAGAAAGAGAAAGGGGTAGATATGAGGAAAAATAAACAGTAAAAGAAGCAGAGGGGGAAAAACAACAACACAAAAAAGACAGACTCACTATACCATAGTAATAACATTATAATTACTGGTGATGAGGCAAGCAGGCTACAAGTGGGGAACATCTCCATCTGTATTCTCCGTTGGACTAAAATTCTTTGATTCAATGGCAGATTGTTTTCTGGTACTCTTTTCGGCTTCACTAATTCTTGTCACTTAAAGATCAATGTTTTGGATTTCTGTATCAAAGCAACAATTTGGTTTTTACTTTCTAAGATTTAAGTATCTTAAGTATGTTCCACAGAAGAAAATTATTCTCATGGGGGTCTCTATTTTTTTCTTGAAGTGCAGTAAGAAATAAAAAAAAAAAATAAAAAATCAAGAGCATGTTGCTTTTTGTTTTAAGCATTAGAGATTTAACTAGGTCTTGTGCATCAGCACTGCTCTTGAAACTCTTGAGCCTTTCCAACCTATTAAAATAATACTTGATTGCAGAGCCTGCAGAAATACTGAACACGTTAAAAACCTATACATTGAGATTACACATGCCCATGCAAACCTCAGCCCACAACTGCATGTGATACCTGACTGAAGTTAAAGGGTACTAAGTGTCCTTAGGCCCCTGTAGCTCCCTTCTCTCTAGGCCTGTTTGTTGTAAGCTGCAACTTGGACGTTTGACCACTGATGGCTCATCTGTGGCTGGTTTCCCTTCCCGCATTCAGAAGTCACATATGACAGATGCACAGCTATGGATAATTACCCTTTCTTTGAGGGGCAAGGTTAAAACACTGATGTTACACTGCGGTGTAAGGTTTTAACATACGAGAGGTAAGAAAATCAGAATTACAGCTCTAAAGCTACCCTATCCCTTAATACATTTAGGTTTAGCATGCAAATACATAACAAAGCAGAATTAGTTATGGTTCCCACAGGAACCATAACTGATTTTCCTGACCTGTGCAGCAAGATTCTCCACAACATCAAAAGATTAAAACCACTGCATTCAGAGGGGTATTTTTCCCCTCTCTGCAAGGCAACTCCTCCCCCCAGGTGGCTAAACTCTTTCTCAAATTAGGGATAAGTGGGCAATCAATTACTAACAGGAAGTTCAGACATTCACCTTTGTGAAATCTTTTAACACAGGTTGTCATCGTAAAACCTAGAGAAAGCACTCCATTGCAATTCTAAGCCAGGAGTTAACTCCAGCTTTTAATACGTCTTGATCTGTGTGAACCAGAATTAATTTCAGTAGATTTAAGACCAGGCCTTATGAGCGCCCTATCAATCAGCTGTTCTCCTGTCCAAATTTTGAATTGTGCATTTGTATTTTCCACTTACTTCCCTGCCTCAACCTCAGATACATCTCACACTATGCTGTTTCAGTTCTGTCTTTCACAAAACTACATATCATCATTAGCTGTATGGTAACCAGCAACCAACTGCCCTTAGAAGTCCATATTTTAATGTCAAGCAAAGCTTTACAGGACTTGAGATCCATGAATGCATCATTAAAATGGTCCAGGAGGGGTTGACATCTGATAATCTCTGCTCCTATGAAATTCAAAGAAACTGTTATTTGTTAAAAATCATTTCAAAAGGCATCTTAAGTATGCCACATCATTTATCAATAATGTTACTTTTCATCTGTAAAGACTGCTTTTTCTCAGGCAATTAGTTTTCTCCAAACACACTGGGAGAAATTAAATGAGTACATGACTTGGACTTTATTTTTTACATGTATGATGAATTACATGGTGTGCTGAAAGGAGGCTAAAAAAATCCTTAGTGTTTTCTACTGTAGGACAGATGAAATAGTGCAGTCCTTTCATTTTTATTTTTTTTCCAACAAGACTCTTTAGAAATGGCAGATTTATTAAAGCCAAAGACAATGTCCTTTCTAGTAGCCTTACTTTCTGGATCTGAAATTTTGGTCAGAATAATGCTGGGGAGGGGAGATGTGGATGTATCTTTTAAATGGAGATGCCAAGTTATAAGTTTGAAGAAAAATATGTTGATTAAATCCTTATATACTTTAGGTGTGCATGAACTTACCAATGTAGTTTTATTGGAGGCCATTTTTATTGCAGACTTGCAGAGCTTTTACTAGAAAAATGCATGACAATTAAAAGGAAGTTTGCATTACTCAAAGAAAGGCATCCCAAGACAAGCATGGTCCTTGTTCCAACCCCCATGTATTCACTGCACTTAACAATTCTAAAATGGATTAAATCCAGAACAAAAAGTAGGTTACTACTTTGTCTGGCATAGCCCAGTAACACACCATCACGCTAGCCAGGAGAAACCATACTGACACAGTGGTATATAGGGTTGAAAAAACGTTTTTCCCAAGGCCTACTAAGGCGTAGAGATGTTTCTAGGGAAAAGGGGGAGGACCATCAGGGATGCTTATTTCCTTAAACCCAATGGAACAGGCGTTCAGATTCTGGCAGTTAAGAGATATACCCGAGGTATATTAACTGTGAAATCTGGTGGGGAACAGCTACATATCCGTGGTGTAATTAATCACCCATTAATCTTGCATTGTAGCAAATGAGTATAAAAACCAAATATTTATCTTAATGCAACTATAACGTTGCCTTCTGATTCTCAAGTTTGCAAGAGTTAAAAGTCCTGGAGCGATATTAACTCAGCTAAGCCGTACAGACTACATATTTAATCTACGCAAATGATGTTGAACACAATCCATCCCCTTTTCCATGTCATTTCTCATACCGACCAGCTCCTTAGGCACGTATTGTCCCCGCCCCACTGCGAGCTATATAGAACTGTTAGAATTCCCCATATGCCTGGGCAAAGGCAAAACAAAAAGTCCTTCAAGGCCAGAAAACCTCCCGGACTCGGCAATCCCGCCCCATTCGCCCCTGGCACGGGAGGTGGCTTTTGGCAGCGCCGTAGGCAGCGCGGGGGCAGGCAAGGTGGGCGAAGGGCAGGAGCTCTAGTGCCCCCAGCGCGGAGGGGACTCGCCTCACATGCGCCCGTTTGAAAGGAAGGGGAAAAGAAACAAAAACCAGGAACACCCCCCCAGTCCCACCCGCGGGAGAGCACGGAGGCGGCCTGGAGGCCTGCTGGGGGCGGG